AGAGAGAGAGAGAGAAACAATGCACAAGCCGAAACATGGTGTAAGAAAGGCAAGGAAACCCCGAAAGAAAAAAAGATATTTCGAGTTAGGGGACTACAAGGTAAAAAAAAAAAAAGAATAATGGTAGGGAAAACATTGAGTCTCATGCGCTGTCACATGCGGAATAGCAACCAGGAACACCTACAGGAAGGCTGCGGATGCCTATATAACCGCAGCTGTTGACGAGCGAATCGATTGGTCCGGAACCTGATGCCTTGAACGGCTATTTCCCTGCTGGCGTGGCACAGAGGCACTCTGAGGCCTTTCCTTGTTGCTCCTGTTCTTACTCCTGCTTCTACCTCTACTAGATCTGCTTTGACTATTAGACTGATTGTCTCTGCCACTTCGGCGGCTGTGAGCCCTATCATTTCTTTTTCTTTCTGAATGAAGACGGGCATTTGGACTCATCTCCCTCAGGTTCGCCACATCTTTGTGGGTCTTCGCGTGCTGGCTGCACGGCCGCGTACTACTCGGCGACGATACTCCGCCCTTCGGTGGCGATACCGGCAACGCGAGCTTTCTCCGAAACAAGTCCAATAAGAAAAAACCTCTTTTTGGTTTCACATCGTCACGCCCAGGCTCACGTGGAGTAGATGATCGGGTAGGCGTTGACCGTGACGCACTCCAGCTGGTGTCTACTGACGGTGAGCCCCTCCGCCTCGATGAAGCCTCACGCCGCGTTGACGAGGGCTCCTCCGACTTCTTTTCTTTGCATTTTCTCACTTGTTTCGGCTTTGGTGTCTCCTTTGACTTTGGTTTCCGCTGGAAGAAGCCAATAATGCCTTTCCTGTGAGGTTCGTTCTCCGGTGGAGTTTGAACTTGGTAGTCGTCCGTCTTACGTCTGTTCGTGACTGTCTGGCCGCTACTCCGTGGCCGCTTCTCGTGCTGTTCCGTCCTGGAGGCCCCGTGCCGCCGTGTGGGCGGCGACCGGTCACGGCGAGTGTCGCTGCTGGTCCTACTCCCACCTTTACTAGTAGGAGTCCGTGAGCCGCTGCTAGACATGGAATCGTGGTGGTGGTGGTGGTGGTGGTGGTGGTGGTGGTGACGTCGCTTGCTTTTTCGTCTGGGCGACGCGCTGGGGTGCCGCCCGCCGTGATGGGCGCCGTCACTTGTTGTGACACGCTCCTGTTGGCCCACCTCGTCACGGACGCCACGAGTGTCACGATAGTGACGGTGGGAATGCTTGTGGTGTGACTCTTCCGAGCGATGACGGTGTGATCCCCGTCTTCGTTTATCTTCCTCCGTGGCGCTGCCGCTTTTTTGCGATTCCCGCTCTCGGCTAACTTCCTTCACCACCTGAGTCTCTCTCGGCGTTGGAAGCACAGGCCTAATGATATCATGTAGTTTGTTAAATCCCTCCTCGGGTTTAGCACCACCCAATGAGGTAGCCATCGGCATCGAAGACGCAACAAGCGTGTTCACCCATGTTTTTTTTCCCTCATTTGAAGACTCATTATCATTGTTTTTTTTATTATTTCTCTTGTTGTGGCTGCTGTTGCTGCTGCTGCTGCTGCTGCTATTGTTGCGGCCACCACTCCTTCCACCTCGCTCTTTCCTTGCTGCACTCTCGTCTTTAACAGGCTTGGGGCGCTCGTCTTCACCTTGAGCCCGCCGCACCTGCATGATTGACAACCGATGGTGACTACGGTGGTGAGATTGCTTCTCCTCCCCCGCAGTAGCACTATCATGCAACGCCGCGCTTGCTGATCCACTGGGGGCGTCTGTGTCCGTTCCCTTTGCCTTGTGGTGCCGACGATGATGGCGCCGGTGGTGGTGTTTCTTTCTGTGTCCTGTGGGGGAGTCCGACGGACTTGCACTCCTGCTTCTTCTCTCGTCCCCGTGTGGCCTCCGCTTGTGGTGTCGTGAATACCCACGCGAGCGATGTCTACGCCCGGATCCCAGCGAGGAGAGAGAGGAACTGTATGACCGCCTCCCTACCTTCGTGTTCGGTGGGGAGCTGTAAGGAGCAGCCGGCGCGGAGTGTATCACGCGACCACCCGCCGCTGCAGCCGTGGTGGCAGCTGTTGATGATCGTGGCGGTGGTGACGGGCCTGCTAAGGGCTTTTGCCAGCCGACCATACCCTTCCCAGCACCCCTCGGAAACGGCGCCATGGTGGTGCCAGGCTGGGGACAAGGCAGCAACAGTGACGCATTGCCGTTGTTCCGCTGTTCCCAGGCGTACGTGCTTGGCGAAAACTGCCGCCATTCCCTCGGCGGTGCATGAAGGTCATCGGCAATAGGAACCTGTGGATAGGCACTGTAGTTTTGGTCATTAGAGTACATTGGCATTTTGGCATCAATCCCTCGTGGCAGACCACTTCCCATGACTACAAAAGCAACACGACAACCCCCCTGCGCCTTGGATATATGGATGCTCGCTGCTTTTGTTTTCTCCTGGTGTGCCTTTGTATGTGTTTTAGAAGCCCTTGCCCCCCTCCACGTGGTGAATCACCTTCTCTACACTGATGGCACAGTTGAATACATGCATATATAAAAGAAGAGAGAAGCAATTCACAGCGATTGGTCTTTTTTTTTTTTTTTGGGGGGGGGGGNTTGGGGGGGGGGGGAGGGGGCTCTTGGCACAAACACACTGTCAAGTCACCCCCCATACACATATAGATAATCTACTCAAGCGTGGTCACATACTAGGACGAAAAACATTTGATAAGACTAAACACGTGACAAAATAAGAACGTGAGGAGGAGTTGGAAACAAAGGCGTCTTCTAGCGTCACACGCTTCGGTTTGAAGTTTCCTCAGCGCTAACGGGGCCTCTCACATCGTATTATTTCCTCTTCTCAAGTGTTTTTTTTTGTTTTTGTTCTTACTGTATAAAAGGTGTCCCTTTCATGCGTCTGTCTCTCACAGAGGCGTGAAATGATTGATGTTTCCATTTCCCTTCACTTTATATACGTCCCCCACATTGCTCTCTCTCTCTCTCTCTCTCTCTCTCTATCTGTCTAATTCTTCTCTCCCGCTCTACTATTTCATACACGCCACGTCGGCACCCCAATGTGTTGTCAGGGTGATTGGGCCGTGCCAAATCGCACATCAAGCCCGCCACAACTCCACGACTTCATTCCGGTGAAGTAAACCGAAGGAA